GGCAACAAATGGCAGACACCATTTGGCTCATGGAGACCAACAGAACTTCAAACATTGTCAAACCTCTGCAAGATGGTTAATTTGTAGGTGTGTAGTGCAACACAAAGGTGCAAACCATATTTGATTGTTCCAGGAGGTTTGCTAAGCATTTCCATAGTAGTGAGTGGGCATTCCTTAAACTATCTTTTGACCACTCCATAATCTATCTTCACTCCCCGCTCAGATCTCAAGCTGGTTTTAGCTCATCTTGTGTCATTACAGAGTGAACATATCTGAAGCATATCAGACTGGTCCCACCCATACCAGGTGCAGAGGGAACTTCAGATATGTTCTCTTTGCTTCCGATATGTTCTCTCTGTAATGGCACAAGATGAGCTAAAACCAGGTGAGATCTGAGCAGGGACCCACCAAAGGGCAGTCTAATCAAGCTGTTGTCCGTTCTCACCTCTCTTGCTACTTGTTTTACTCTCCTTAAGTTTAATGGTCAATCCAGACGTGGACCCCTTGCTCACGGTGCCTAGAGGGATATTGGTTATAACTCACTGATAATACCTTACAAGGATGAAACGATCATCTGTGGTTGCTGTATCTCTTGTGCAGAGGAAACTTGCTGGCATTTCAGATCTGGACTGCCTGTACGGGTGGGACCAGTCTGATATGCTTCCTTCAATACTGCCCTCTGGAACGCACGTTCTGTTTGCAATATTACTAAATCCACTGCTGTCCATGACTACTTCATCTCTCGTTCAATAGATTTACTAGCCTTAACAGAAACCTAGCTCTCCCCCACTGACACTGCTACCCCTGCATCTTTGTCCTTTGGTGGTCTTCAACTTACCCACAACCCAAGAAACTCTGAATGTAAAGGTGGTGGTGTAGGGTTTCTCCTCTCCCCTCACTGCTCCTTTAAACCTCTACCCAACCCCCCCTTCCCTCTCTTTCCCATGATTTGAAATACATTCAATTCACCTTTTCAAACCCTTCTGTGCTAACATTGCTGTTATTTATCGTCCCCTTGGTTCCCCTCTTCTCTTCCTTGACCACTTTGCTAACATTCCATCCCTAATTCTCTGGGACTTCAATATTCCTATTAACCCACCTTTGACCTCTGCAGCCTCTAAACTACTTTCAATTACTTCCTCCCTCGGGCTATCACAGTGGGTTAATTCTCCAACCCATGTAGCTGGGTAATCTTCTCTTATGCATGTACAGTATCTAATATCTGCAACACTCCATTTCCTCTCTCTGATCACCACCTGTTATCATTTGCTCTCGTGTACCCCCTCACCCAACAACCTCAGCCTAACCACCCTCATCTCAGGAGGGACCTTAATTCTCTTGATCTCCAGCAGTTGTCAGCTGATATTGATTCACAACTGCTATCTATCCCTTCCCTCTCCTGTCCTTCAATGGCCATCTCTGCATATAACACTACCCTCACCTCTGCATTGAACGCTGCAGCACCGCTCCAAAGAAGCACCTCGAGGAGGACCCGCCCCCAACCAATCAACACGCTACCTGCAAAGATGCTCCCGTTGTGCTGAACGCTCCTGGAGGAAGTCTCGCACCCAGTCAGACTTTCTCCATTATAGATTCATATTTAGTGATGTACCGAACGGTTCGCCGGCGAACGGTTCCTGGCGAACATAGCATGTTCGCGTTCGCCACGGCGTGCGAACATATGCGCGGTTCGACCCGCCCCCTATTCGTCATCATTGAGTAAACTTTGACCCTGTACCTCACAGTCAGCAGACACATTCCAGCCAATTAGCAGCACAGCCTCCCTAGCAGACCCTCCCACCTACTGGACAGCATCCATTTTAGATTCATTCTCAAGCTGCATGCTTAGTAAGAGGAGGGAAAGTGTAGCTGCTGTTCATAAGATAGGGAAAAGCATAGCTAGGTTAGGGATAAGGGTATGCTTTTTTTGGATTTTTTTTTTCTATCTAATGTAAATGCACTTAGTTGTCTGCCACTGCTGCCAGCTTCTGTGTCAGGCTCACAGTGCCCATTTCCCCAGTCAGTGCCACCAATTACATCTGGTGTCACAATAGCTTGGATTTAAAAACAAAAAACTTTTTTCACTGTTATAGATTGAATAGCAATCAGTTGTCTGCCACTGCTGCCAGCTTCTGTGTCAGGCTCACAGTGCATACTGTGCCCATTTCCCCAGTCAGTGCCACCAATTACATCTGGTGTCACAATAGCTTGGATTTAAAAACAAAAAACTTTTTTCACTGTTATAGATTGAATAGCAGTCAGTGTCCTTAAAGCGGGTGTGTTACGCTAACAGTGGATACGCTGACAAGTGCCACCAATTAGATCTGGTGACACAAAGCTTGGATTTTAAAAAACAAAACACTTTTTTCACTGTTATAGATTGAATAGCAGTCAGTGTCCTTAAAGCGGGTGTGTTACGCTAACAGTGGATACGGTGACCAGTGCCACCAATTAGATCTGGTGTCACAATAGCTTGGATTTTAAAAACAAAACACTTTTTTCACTGTTATAGATTGAATAGCAGTCAGTGTCCTTAAAGCGGGTGTGTTACGCTAACAGTGGATACGGTGACCAGTGCCACCACTTGGATCTGGTGACACAAAGCTTGGATTTTAAAACAAAAAAATATTTTTCACTGTTATAGATTGAATAGCAGTCAGTGTCCTTAAAGCGGGTGTGTTACGCTAACAGTGGATACGGTGACCAGTGCCACCACTTATATCTGGTGACACAAAGCTTGGATTTAAAAACA